CCATAGAAACCAGGCCGTGTGTCATACAATCAGTCTTGTCATCTAATTTGTGTACATGCTGTTGATAAAATAAAATATAGCTGTGTCAGAACAGCAACCAAAAGATGTGTTAGCTTTGGAGGGACTGCAGAACAATAATGGGGCTAAAAGGTTTCAATGGGAGGAGGTTGCATAAATGGCTCTATTTCCAGACACCTAGACAAATTGTAGATGATCTAACTGAAGTGTTCAAAATGATTAATGAATTGAGAAGGTAAATGGAAGGAAAGTGTTTTCTCTGGGATAGGAAGAATCCAGGATAAGGGGCCAAAGCTGCAGTTGTAAAGGGGGGTCGGAAATTCTCATTAACTTTACCCCAAAAATTCCAGGATTCCAATGGCACAAAAGATGTGAACATAACTGTTTTAAATCATGTAGTATAATGAGGTAGGATTAATAAGAATATAAGTTAATGGTCCTTTGGGAGTAGTGACCATAACATGTTAAAATTTCAAATTCAGTTTGAGGGAGAGCAATTTGGGTCTCAAACCAGTGTGCTGAACTTAAATAAAGACGGTTACAGAGGTAGGAGGAAAGAGTTGTCTAAACCAGGTTGGGAAAATAGACCAAGGGGAAAATCAGTGGATAAGCAGATATTTCATAGCATTCAACAAAATGTATTTTGGGCAACAAGGACAATTGGAAACTTAGATTATCAACGAAAAGTATCCAGCTAAAGACTAAGGCATGCAGAGCAGCAACAACTAGTGACTGAACAGAATTTTGGGAATAATTTAGAAATCAGCTGCAGATCAATGGAAGCTAATAAAGGAGGAAAATGGTTATGCAAATAAGAAATATAAAAACAAACAGCAAGAGCTTCTATGATACAACTGGGAATTGATAACGAGGACCAGGAAAATGTCAAATAATTCAAACTAAAGCTTTGCATTGGTCTTCATGGTGGAGGACATTAGCACCTTACTTATCTTTGTATATTCATAATGAGAGCGAAGATCTTGTAGCAGTCTCAATCAGAAGGGGCAAACTATTTGACTAATGGAACTAAAGGCACATGAGTCGCTAGGACCTGATGGCCTGCATCCAAGGGCTTTTTAAAGGAAGCAGCTACAGTGATAAGAGAAGGCATTGGTCAAAATACTCCAGAACTCACTGGATGGCAGCAGAGTTCCAACAGATTGGAAACCCATTGATGTGATGATGCCATTGCTGTGGGGTTTTTTTTTTTTGTTCATTTATGGAATGTGGACTGCACTCGCCAGGCAAATATTTATTGCTCAGAAGGTAATTGAGAGTCAACCACATTCCTGTGGATCTGAAATCACACATTGGCCAGACCAGGTAAGGTTGGCAGATTTCCTTCCTTAGAGGGCATTAATGAACCAGATGGGCTTTTCCAACAATTGACTACAGCATTTTCTAACTCTTAATCACAGACTTTTTAAAATTGAATTCAAATTTCACCATCTGCTTATCCACTGATTTTCTCCTTTGTTTCCCAGCCTGCTTTAGACAACTCTTTTTTCCTATCTGTGTACAAAGAATAAAAAAAAGTACAATACAGGAACAGGCCCTTTGGCCCTCCAAGCCCGCGCTGACACATTTTGCCCTTCCATACTGAAACTGTATATCACTTACAGGATCCATATCCCTCTGTTCCCTTCCTAATCATATATTTGTCCACGTGTTTCTTTGATGCTGCTATTGTGTCTGTTTCTCTTTGGCAGTATGTTCCAGACACTCACCACCCTTTGTGTGAAAAACTTACCTTGCACATCTCTTTTAAACTCTCTTTGCCCCTCCCCCACCCCCACACCTTGAACCTGTGTCCCCTAGTAGTTGATGCCTTCACCTTGGGAAAAGGCCTCATACTTTCCACTCTGCCCCTCCCCCTGAATGGCATAGATAATGACCTAGTGGTATTATCAGTGGACTGTTAATCCAGAGACCTAGGTAATGTTCTGGGGATCTTGGTTTGAATCCTGCCATGGCAAATGGTGGAATGTGAATTCAGTAAATATCTGGAATTAAGAGTCTAATGATGCCCATGAATCCATTATGGACTGTCATGAAAAAAAATCCCATCTGGTTCACTAATGTCCTTTAAGGAAGGAAACTGCCATTCTTACCTGGTCTGACCTACATGTGACTCTAGACCAACAGCAATGTGGTTGACTCTTAACTGCACTCTGGGCAATTAGGGATGGGCAATAAATGCTGGGCCTAGCCAGTGATGTCCTCATCCTGTTAATGAATAATTTTTAAAAATCACAATCTTATGAACTTCTAACAGGTCGCCCCCTCAACCTCCTGCATTCCAGTGGAAACAAACCCAGTCTTATCCAAGACAACAAGGTGCAGGGCTGGATGAACACAGCAGGCCAAGCAGCATCATAGGAGCAGAGAGGCTGACGTTTCAGGCCTCCAGTCTTATCCAAACTTTCTTCATTGCTAAAATCCCTCATACCAGGCAACATCCTGGTGAACCTTTTCTGTACCTTCTCCAAAGTATCCACATTCTTTTGGTAGTGTGGTGACCAGAACTGCACACAACTGTCACTGTCATTATTTACTTTGAGCACACTGGTTGAGACCCAGTTGCTCTTCCTCAAACAGAATTTGAAATTTTAACGTCATGATCACTACTCCCAAAGGAGCATTAACTTTTGAGGTCTCTTATTAATCCTACTTCATTATACATTACATGATCTAAAATAGCCCCGTTCACATCTTTAGTGTCATTAGAATCGTGGAAGTTTTGGGATAAAGCTAATCTGTATCCATCAGAATTTCCTTATCCCCCTTTACTACTGCAGCTTTAGCGCCTTTTCCTGGATTCTTCCTACCCAGAGAAAATAGTTTCCATCTATCTGCCACGGTGGGAATTGAACCTGGCTCATCAAGGAAAGGATATAAGGAATCTGGAAGTTCGTATAGATAGGTTGAATACATAGGCGCAAGTCTTGGCAAATGGAGCTTAATGCAGGGAAGTGTATGGCTAATGCATTGTGGTAGTAACAACTAAATGGCAGTCTATTTTTCCAGTGGAAAGTAAGTAAAAAGGTACAGCACAGATGGCCTAGGGTGTTCTTATAACACAAGTGTTAGCATTCTGGTGCAGCACGTAACAAAGTAAAATGTAATTCTAGCCTTTATTACCATGGGATTGAAATGTAAAAATAGGGAAATCTTGTTACAGTTGTATAGGGTGTTGATGAAACTGCACCTACAGTACCTTAAATAAAGGATGTACTGGTGTTGGAGGCAGTTGAAAAGATTCCTGGGATGAAGGGTTTGACTTATCAAGAACAACTAAATGTGTTAGGACTTTATTAATTAGAGTTTAGCAGAATGAGGGGTAAATCTTATTGAAACAGGTTCTGAGAGGGCTTGACAGGGTAGATGTTTCCATTATTGGGAGAAGCCCTGAGCTAGAGGACATAGTTACAGAATAAGTGTCACTCATTTAAAACTGAAAGCGGAGGAATTTCTTCTCCCAACGTCAATGTGTGGAATTCTTGATCTTTGATTCCAGATAGCTGTGGAGGCTCAATCACACAATATTCAAAGAGGAGATAGTAAGAACTGCCAATGCTGGAGCCAGAGATAGCACAGTGCGGAGCTGGAGGAACACAACAGGCCAGGCAGCATCAGAGGAGCAGGAAAGCTGACATTTCGGGTGGGGACCCTTCAGAAAAAGAAGGGTTTTTCTGAAGGAGGGTCCCGACCTGAAACGTCAGCTTTCCTGGTCCTCTGATGCTGCCTGGCTTGCTGTGCTCCTCCAGCTCCACACTATTATCTATATTTAAAGAGGAGGTGGGTTTTGAAATATGAGCGAGTTAATGGCTATACTGAGCTGGCCTGGAACTCTCAGCTGTGATCTTATGGATCTGTGGGCCAGGCCTGAGGAGCTGAATTTCTTATTTTCTTGTTCAGACAAGACACCAGTTGTAGGTAACAAAAGGAAGAAAATTATAAATATGCAGTCCCTGTTTTTCTGGAAAAGTTGGGGAAATAATGAGTTCCAGGTATCCACTCTCCTTTGTGTGAAGAAATGCCTTTTGCCATCACCCCTGAATGGTCCATCTTGAATGATAAAGTTTTGTCCCTTGTCCAAACCTGGCCACGTTGAGTGATGAAGTGCTGCCAACGTTCACCAGAGGGGTGTGGATATCAGGGACTCTCTCTCTGTCTATCTTTCTCTTTCTCTCTCTCGCTCCGTGTCTCCAACCTAAGCCCCCCAAAGCAGGGACCGTACGTTTATTAATTGTCTCTCCATTGACGCTGACAACTAGTGGCATTTTTTGCCTCATTAAGAGTCCTGGGGATTTTGGGGTCAAGCTAATCTGAATCCATCAGAATTTATGATCCCCTTTACATTTGTATTATGTTTAATGTAAGGTCACTGAACTGAAAATTAACTTTTATTTCTGTCTCCAAAGATACTGCTGACATGTTGCGTTGTCTCCAGCATTTTCTGCTTTAATTGCTGTATTACAGTTCCCTCTCAGGTGGATTATATATCTGGGTGGAGAATGTTACTGAATAGAATCCATTCTCCCGGATGTTGCTATCCATTTTTAAATTACCAGTATTTCATGCAGCTTGAGCATACCTGTGGTACTTGACAGTGTGTGAATGCACCAAAATGTTTGCAGTTTATCCCTATAGAGTATGTTTTACATGTTGAGTGGTGTTACATACAGGATGTTGAGACCTATATTAGGGAAATTAGCTCCTTAGTGTGAAGCATGGACAAAATAAACGTATTTATTAAGGTGCAAGTAAATCATTTCAAAAAAATGAAGTAAATTCCACAAAGTTTGTGCCACTTCCCTGGGATTTTGGTAGCTTGAATAAATACGAACATGATTTTCAGCTTAAGAGTGGGAGGAGTCCCTACTCTGCAGCTACAGGGAGGCTAAGTGCCTAAAGTTCATCTACAAATTATTCGTTTCATTCTTAACCTACAGAACTAAAGTCAATCCTTGAGCTACAGCTCATGACAATTTCTTCATGTACAAGAGTTTCAAATATGCAATGCTTAGGAAGAAGGTGATCAGTGCACTTAATCCCACATGGTTCTGCCACAAATCCCACGTTGCTGTGCCAATCCCCATGTCCTGAAGGTGCTGAGTTCCTGTGCACCTGTAATGCAAAAGTAAAAGGATCAAATCAGGATGTTAACAAAAGGATTTTTAAAATGACATATGACAGTATTTACTACATGGAAACGGATGCTTCAGCCCAATGGTCTATGGTGCTGTCTGTACTCCACTCCTCTATCTCTCCCTTTCAGCACACACTATTCCTTCCCCCTCACATTGATCCAGCTTTCCCATCATTGTATTTACATTATTCACCTCCATGCAGGAACAAGTCCCACATTCTCACTGCTCTCTGAGTATTGGGTGCAGTTTTGGTCTCCATATCTGAGGAAGGGTGTTCTGGCGATAGAGGGAGATTCCTGAGATGGCAGGTCTGATGTTTGAGAAGGGTTAAATCTGTTAGGATTATATTTGCTGGAGTTCAGAAGAATAAGGGGGAAATCTGACAGAAGCCTGTAAAATCTTATCAGGACTAGACCTGGGTAGATGCAGGGAGGATGTTCCTGGTGACCATGGAGTCCAGGACCAGGGGCCATGGTCGAAGGATACAGGAAGGCCATTTAAGATGAGATGAAGGGATATGTTTTCATCCGGAGGGTGGTGAGCCTGTGGAATTCTCTGCTGTAGAAAGCAGTTAAAGCCAAAACATTGAAAGTTTTCAAAAGGTAGTCAGATATGAGGAGAAAGTGAGACCAGGGGACTAAGTTGGATGATCAGCCATGATCATATTGAATGGTGCAGCAGGCTTAAAGGGCTGAATGGCCAACTGCTCCTATTTTCCAAGTTTCAAGGCATTTCTCCTGAATGCCTATTCGATTTTACGCTAGCAGTGTTATGTGTGTGTTGTTAGTCTCAGTACTTGCCATAGAGTGCATGGGGGAGGTTCACTGGTTTAGCCTACCAGGAGAGATTGAAGAAGATCTCACTGAAACACAGAATTCTTACAGCACTTGACAGGCTAGATGTAGGAAAGAAAGAAGCAAAACACTGCAGAGGCAGGGAATTGGAAACAAACAGAGAATGCAGGAGAAACTCAACAGATCTGGCAGTGTGTGCACAGAGAAGCAGCGTTATTGTTTCAGTCTGATATGACTCTTCAAAGTGGCCTCAAAGCATTAACTTTCTCCCTCTGGGATAATGCCAGACCTGGTGAGTTTTTCCTGCATTCTCTATTGTTGTAGGAAGGGAGCTTCCCCCCTGGCTAGAGTGGTCTAGAATCAAAGACCACAGTCTCCCCTGAGGTCTGAGATGAGGAGGAATTTTTTTCACACAGAGGGTGGTGAACATGTGGGCTTTTCAGTCCTGGAGAGCAGTGGGAGCTCATTGACTGAGGATGATCCAATTCAGGGATCAATAGACCTCTTCATCCTCAAAACACTGAAGAACGATGCAGGAAAATGTTGTTGAGGTAGACCATCGGTCATAGAATAACAGAGGAAGCTTGATGGGCCAAATAGCCTCCTCCTGCTCCCATTCCCCATGATTTATTGATGGAACTATTATTTACTTATGGCCCCTTTTCTGAAAAATCTGCCCTCTCTATTCAACCCACTGCATTTTACGAAAGCCCTCAATCAGGTCATTTCTGTGTTCCTTCCAGTAAAGAGTTCCTAGTCTCAGACAGTATAATTTCTCAGTTCATTTATCATTCCAATAGTTCCTTTCTGCACCTTCTCCAGGGCTTATCCTTTTTGGGATATGGAGAACAGATCTGTATGCTGCCACTGCTGGCTCTGATTCGGAAGTTCACTCTGTTGTCTCTGACAGTCCCACTGCCAGACCTGAGTGTAACAGTTGGACCCTGAAAATGTACTGCAATACCGAGGGAATGCTACATTCTCAGAGGGGCTGACTTTTAGATGAGTTGTTAAGCTAAGGCCCCACCTGTTCCCACAGGTGGATGTAAAAGATAATGTGCAATCTAATAAAATATTTCTTTTGTGACATTGATTCTCACATTGCTGTTTGTGGGAGTTTGCTGTGTGCAAATTGGCTCCCGAATTTCCTACAATACAACAGAGACTGCACTTCATTGGCTATGAAATGATTTGGTGTGCTCAATGGTTGTGAAAAGTGCAATAGAAATTCTAACTAGTCCAGGTCATAGTGAGTATGGGATGGTTGCTGGTTTACTGCAGCTATGAATTTTAAAATCTTTAATGGGTGACCTAGGAAAATCCCCCATCACATTGATGTTAGCAGCTGGTTCCGGTATCAGAGCGAGAAATCCAGGCTGTTTGGGAGAATTTCATATCTTGTGTGCCTTCCAAACCCAGGACCACTTCCATCTAGAAGGACAAGGGCAGCAGATACATGGGAACACCAGCCCCTGCAAGTTCCCCTCCGAGCCACTCAGCCTCCTGACTTGGAAATATATCGCTGTTCCTTCACTGTCACTGGAACAAAATCCTGGAATTCCCTCCCTAATGACATTGTTGGTCTACCTACAGCACATGGACTGCAGCGGTTCAAGAAGGCAGCTCACCCCCACCTTCTGAAGAGGCAACTAGAAACGGACAATAAATGCTGGGCGCAGACAGTGACACCCACACCCCACTAGTAAATAAATTTTAAAATTACTTACGAGATCTGAACTGGGGTTGGATTTGGGCAGTGACAGCCCTTCCCCAAATCTGACACGTTATATGAAAAGGTCAAGCCCACAAATTCATTCACCATGAGAGCCTGTGAGATTGAACAGGTCAGGAGTTACATTGGGAAACCACTGCATTGGAAGACAGCACAGTACTCTTTGAGAATGGCCTCCCTTACATCATTGTGGGTCAACCTACAGCACATGAACTGCAGCAACACAAGGAGGTAGCTCACCCCCACCTCCTCAAGGGGCAACTAGAACAACCCCCACCTCCCAGATGAATAAAGAACATCTTGCAGTGCCTTGTTACTCAGAACACAGCCTGCTTATCCATGTCAGTGGGATTTTAACCTCATCACACTAACTTCCAGAAAATGTTCCCATCATTCAGCTTCTAAACAACGATGAATATTTGCAGCCATGAATGCATTACAGGAAAGATGAATATATGACAACAAGGTTCTCCTACAGGTTGCTATATTTCAATACTGCTGTATTATAGTTCTATCAACAATAATCTGTTCAGTGTCTAGACAGAGTGTTCATTGATATCAAAGTAATTTAATATCAGTGCAGTGCTGGGCAAACAGATGGGCTAAATTACAGAGAGTACACTACTCTGCAAACCCAGAGAGGGGGAATGCCCATGTATTTATGGATATAGATAATGTATGTGTATATAACTATACTATATATGCTTTAGATATATCACACTTTTCAGGGCACCAGCCAATATATCATTAATCTCTCAGTTTGCCAAGCTCTGACTACCGAGTTACTAAGTGTAATATCAATGACCACATTCATTCTGTAACAGGCTTCCACTGAAACTCTTTAACAACAAAAATTAATTTCATTTAAAAAGCAGCCTTAAAGATGATAAGACATCCCAGGGCACTTCAGCAGCAGGGCAGAATTACACCAATCGAGATGACAATATGAGGTCAGACATGAAGCAGGTTTTAAGGAGTAGAAAGGAAAGGTGAAGGGAGGCAATGGAACAACACAACACAGGAGGAGACTATTCAGCCCATTGTGGCTGTGATAGCTCTCCAAAGGAGCAATGCACCTCATGACCTCCTTGACCTTCTCCCTATAATCCTGCACACTATTCCAATCCAGATAATTATCCCATTACCGTCTGAAAGCCTTGATTGATCCTGCCTCCCCCCACACTCTCAGACAATACATTCCAGACTCTAACCAC